AAAAGAAAGAGTCTTCTGAAGCGTTCCGTTAATCTTTGAATACTGGAACAAACAGGACTTGACAGCTGGAATGCAGCTCTGTGGTAAGTACCAGGCATTTAAATCTTTAATTAGCTGTGCACTTTAGCCCCACCAAAACTAACAAAGGGAACAAAATCAAAGTTGGACTTATATTTTATGGCCATATCACGTCTATTATAAGATATATTTGTTCATACCACGCCTGGCGCTCTATAACGCATACCTATTTGGTAATATTGATTTTAATGCAGCCTTGATTGTATAATTTTTTTATTAATTCGATTTAATACAATGTATAATATTCAGTAACCATCCGTTACTTTTAAAACGATCCGTTATTTATAAAAACCTATTATGTTTAATCTCCCTAAACTGTTGGCTTTATTATAAACCTTATTACAAAGTCATAAAGACCAAATTTCTAAAAACTCTTGAACTAAGATTTTTCAGTAAGGTTGAGATTTCATTGTCTCACATTGGAGTCGTGCTTTGAATACGTAATGCTGTAGAAAAAATGGATACCGCTTTTTATTTTATTTTTCAAAACGCTGTCTAAACCGTTTGACATATAACATAGCTATGTATGAAGGAATTATTCCTCGCTTATATATCTACAAAAAAGTCTATTACGACATATATCTATTTATTAAGGATAGCTAGCAATAGACATTCAAACCCAACTAGAATATTCACAAACTAATTCACCAAAACGCTCACTACTCGACGGTGAGATTTTGACAGTTACTGTCGAAACCGTTTGACATATAACATAACTATGTATGAAGGAATTATTCTTCTCTGATAGATCTATAGAAATGGTAATCATGGCATTTATCTATCTATTAAGAATAGCTGGCAATACCCATTCAAACGCAACTAAAATAAAATCAAACAATTTCAATGAAAACGGTGAGGTTTTACAAATACTGTCTAAACTGTCTGACATATAACATAGCTATGTAGGAAGGAATTATTCCTCGCTTACAAAAAAGTCTATGACGGCATATATCTATGTATTAAGGATAGCTGGCTATACCCTCTCAAACGTAACGTTGTCTATAATAAAATGCCGCATCAAAATTTCTTAACGCAAAAGAGGGCGGGACCACACGCGCGAAGATGTTTATCGCGCGTAATAGATTGGAAATGGGGTGTTTCGGAAAATTGAAAATTGTTTATGGAAAATTAGGTATGATTCTTAAATAACTTAAGTCTTAAATATATACGGTCGAAATCCAAGTGCTTTGTATGTATGTTTGTGTGCAAATATTTCGGAAACTAAAAGTGATGTCGTGGTGATTCTTTTTGATTTTAATTAAGTATGTTACTTATTTACTAAAGTGTAATTTTTGTTCAAATCGGTTGAGTGGTTTTTGAGATAATCACGTTCTTCTGAAGTAAAAAAATATTTTAATTTTTTAAATAAGGGTTGCGTTTAAACGGGTGTTAGTTTAGGTTATTAAATGTATTTATAAATACTTAATTAGTTTAATTTAAGAAAACATAAAAATCCATAGACAACAATTACTCTACCAAACCATAAACAAACATTGCTCAGACAAATGACTGTACGAAACAATAAACAAAATCGGAATTAAAAAAAACCATGGACAAAAAGACACTTAAAAATCCATAGACAACTCCCTTAAAACTAATTGTTTCTCAGGCATTTCAACGTTATATCTTTAATTAAAAAACAGCTCAACCAAAACGGATAAAATCAAGTTATTAACAAATTCTTTTATATAAGAACTCGAATAAAAACACAGCGCAAGGTGGGCCTTTCCACGTACACTAGGGATTGGGGAAGTCGATAAAATTTGTCGATACTTATACTATCGATAAATTTCCAAACTCATCTATAAGTCCCCAGGCATGTATCAAGAAAATAAAATGCATTTGTGTGAGTGTGAATGTTTGAACATTATTAGCTTCTGTCAAACTTAGAGCAGTGTTGGCCTAGTGGCTTCAGCGCGCGACTCTCATCCTTGATGTCGTAGAACCCCGGCTGTGCACCACTGGATTTCCTTCTATCTGCACTTAACATTCGCTCGAACGGTGAAGGAAAACATCGTGAGGAAACCGGCTTGCCTTAGACCTAAAAGTGGTCTGGGTTTGTTATGCCCATCGCGAACCCGATATCCTGGACAAGCTGGTTGGCGTCGGCAAGGAGAAGCTACATACCGAACAAAGTGGAGAGATATAACTAGCAGGGTAGCAAGAACCTAACACGACCTTCAGCAATGAAGAATACGACTGAGAGGAGTGGACTTCAGTTTTAAAGAACTACCACTTAAAATAGAGAGCTTCTCAATTCCTGGAACATAAAAGGTAAAGGTCCAAGAAGCGATCCTTGCAGTACGCCAGTTGACTTTTTGACAAGGCAAGGACAGTGTATCTCCAATGCGAACTTGAAAACTTCTTTCCAATAGGTAATCCAGGTTAATATTTTTCCTCAGATCCTTACGTGCCTTATTTTAGATATAAGACGGCGTATTAGGTCAAAACCTTTTTCAAAATCTAGATAGACTATATGTATTGCATCACCTAGGTCGAATCTTCTTAATCATTCAATAAGAAGATTGGTTGCAACAGGTCGTCCTGGTACAGATCGATACTCTTCATCTAATCTTCTCCAATATATTTGGATACACACACGAGACCTACAGGTCGATAGTTAGCGGCTTATAATTGATTATCTTTCTTAAATATTGGCACAATAGCAGATTTCCAATCAGACGGCACAAAAAACCGTCTATCGATAAAAGCACAACACTAAAGAAGAAAAACTACAAACGTTTAATTGAACTGGTTATAATTGTAATCTGTCTTTCGGTTCTAAATTCTGTCCTTGTGCCCCAATGGCCCATAATCCAATGCGACACTTGGGATTTCATTAATAACTTGACTTCAAACAATTATCTAAATCTATAAATGATTGTTGACAAATTACTCGAAAACTAGAAGACATATTCTGATGCTTTTTGTATTACATAACATATATTTAAAATTAGTAATAGGTAAAATTTCATCAAAATCTGTTCAATAGTTATGGAGATATGAGGATAATGATGCCCTTGCAATTTCTGGAGGAAACATATAACCAGATCTAGGAACATATAATCATACGGAAATAAATTCGAAACTTTGACGACAATTTACTCAAATACTAAAATTCATATTCAGGTGATGCTTTTTGTATTACATAACATATATTCCCAATTAGAAATAGGTCAAATTTCATCAAAATTCGTTTAGTAATTATGGAGATATGGGCATCGTTGCAATTACTGGACACAAGAAGTATTTAGGTCAAACCCACTCTTTACTTACTTATATAATGTCGTAAGTTTGACGACAAATTACGCTAAAACTAAAATACATATCGAGGTGATGCTTTTTGATTTAAATAGCATATACTCCAACGTAAAAACAGTCTAAGTTTCATCCAAATCGCTACAGTACTTTCCGAGATATTCTCACATTTCTAAAACAGTCTTCTACATTTTTTTTACGGGAATCACTCTTACGATTCCAAAGTGTTGATAGACTCAGACAAATTAGCGCTTTTTCAATCGATTAAAAAATCCCTTTTTGCGTGTTCATAACATTAATTAAAAACTCACGCATCGCTGGCTCAGTGGTTTATGTAGGTTTTTGTTCGAACAAATGTGTTAATAAGGCTGCCTTGTTTTGCTAATAGCTGCAAGATTTTTTATAGAACAGTGGACAGCTCACCTGATGTACACTCAATGCCAGTGGACTCGCGAGTGCGATGGCCTTTTAAGAATCGGTACGCTCTTTGAAGGAACCTAAGCCGAATTGGTTCGGAAATAACTGTCGCCTATGGACACTCAATGCCAGTAGACTCTCTAGTGCGTTGCCGGTCTTTTTATAATTAGTACGCTCTTGGAAGGACCCTAAGTAATATTACTTAGGAAATACTTCAGAGGGCAGCTGGTTCCACATTAACGAACATTAAGGAACGTTTTAATTTATCTTCCAACCTTGATTTTGGAGTTGGAAGAGACCTCAAGTCGCGCCCCAGAAGGGCAAAGCATTTCCCCAAAAATGGGGTGTGGCTGTTGGGTAGTTAATAAATATTGACGACAGCTGATTAAAACGCAATAACTGTCCAAAAGTCAAAATTAATAACTGCAAATAACAAAAATAGCCCCAAAATGGCAGCGTTTACAACTCCACCGCTGCGTCACCATTATCGCTTCGTTTATGATTCTTCAGCTATCCATTGGTATAATTTTGGATAAACAGGAATCGAAACTAAGATTGAAATCGATTTTGTTAGGATTGGAATGTCCCCGTATGGTAGCCTCTAGAGCTGGTACTTTCCTCGCCTTTACTGCCAGCATTAATGGTACACAAATATATATCTATTTTCTATAGTTTTAGTAAGACGGAAATGTTGTCTCTGAACTACGCGATGGTTGTTTTTAAAGTCACAATTTCACCCCGCACTTTGATTAAAATATATATTTAATATAAAAATCTTATAAGCTACTAAATCCAGTATTTTTTAAACTAATAATTCTGTAATATATGTGTCAAGCATAGATGACCTTATTGAAAAAGAATAAAACCCGTTTCATATAAGCATAAGGGACCAAATCGTGTTAGATTTAATCAGACATTTCAGGTAATATCCCGAAAACTGTCAACCTGATTACAGATCCCTTTCACCTGGACCTGGTCGCTGAAAATACGAATCTATTGACACCTCGATCATCGATATCGGTCGACGGTTGGAGGAGCTGGAACACGAAACCTTCGTGGTTATCAAGTCAATTCCAGAAAAACTAAGTCAAGAAACAAATGATAGTAAAAACCATAAATTAAATAGTTGCACACGTTTTCAATTACCGTACATAGACAATCCATAAATAGAGCAAGATAAAAACAAGATGGCGGATGTCATAAACGCAAAATGGTACATAATTATGAAGTCATTTATTAAACCATACTTGTAACTATGACAGGTGAACGTTTTCTACGCTTTGCATTTTCTTTTCTGTTCTTGGACATGTCTGAAGGTCCAGGAAATTATTCCAGAGACAGCCTGAGAGCTGGTGCTTTTTCAAGGAATGATCGCGAATGCCTGCATTGACGGGTCTACCACAGGGAGCAGTTTTAATGTGTTTTAGTTTTGATTTTGTTCCCTTTGGAGTAGATTTGGGCCGGAGGGTTCAAGTGGTACTACCGGTGACCTCAGAGCTGGTCCTTTCCTCAAGGAATGATCGCAATAAGGCGAGGAAATGCCAGCATTAAAGGTTGTGCCACACGGAGCATTTTTAAGTACTAATAGTAAGAACTATTTGACTTTTGGACCTCGTCAAGATAGTCTAACAATCCCACAACGCCAAAAACTAATAGCCATCCCCTGGACTACATCACAGCTGTCACTAAGTATTGTTTGTTTACCACCTTTAAACGTTTAAAAATTCATACGACCCTTTGACATTGTCAATGTCATGATGACAGCTGTCATGTTGTCGAGTCTCTCGAATAGCTCGGAAAATACTTCGTGAGCTCTGTGGATGTACTTGGGGACTAGTAGTGGATGCGTAGTCGACCTTTGAGCGAGGAGAATGCTCCTTAAATTGGAGAAACGAACTTTTGACGGTGCTCAAGATGAGGAATGGGAGCTGGACTTAAGAGGATATTTCCCATCTACCCACATATAAGAAAAGCTTTTATTAAGAACTTTTCATACTACCCACGCAAAGTTCTTTCCATCTTTTATTTGAAAGACCTACCTACGAGGTTTTATATAAAAACATATTTTAGGTGCCCAACAGTTAATTATTGGAATAATGTTTTTTTTGTATCTACCCACAAAACTGTCAATAGATTTTTCACATTAATACCGTTTAACGCCTCTCCATTTAAAAATAAAACATAGACCAATTTACATACAATTCAAAACATACATATTTTAACATTCTAATGACAGATGCGCATTATGCGTATACAAAGGACATATACAGGGTGTCCTACACTGTATAGGCTTTTAATAAACTACTCTAAACAGCCACAATATATATCTATATCTTATGTGTAATTATAGCGAAATAGTGAACCATAACTACAATAAAAATTGATTATTTATTTCAAATGCACATTTGGTAATAATAAATTGATTTCTCAATGAAAATATATACTTTTATCGCTTCTGGTATTTAATGTAGATATAATATGTCTTTCACACTTCATCATTTGGACAATATTTAATCCTGCGCAGACGAAGTCTCGGGCACCAGCTAGTAAACCACACGAACAAACTTATAACTACTAACAAAACTTACTATTATACAACTAGAAACAAAATCGAACATCTAAAACCACTACGACTTAAAACCACACCCTGTTTATGTCATTAAAATTCATGTCAAATTTGCAATTTCAATATTGACATTTCAATATTGTGGTAAAAAACTAAGTTCTATAGAATTTTTTATGATCCGTCCGTGTCACTATAACCGACTGAAAATAGGAGGTGTATTATTCGACTTAATAATAAATTATAATTATTTTACTAGTCTCATTAAACAGTTAAATCGCTATTTATTAATTAATAATTAAAAGTGTTGAGTTGTCATTATTAACACAACTCCATTCAAAAAACATATTTTAAATGGTATTTAAATTAATTTTAGAAGAATAAAATAGTTTTGAAATTTGATCAGACATTTCAGTTAATATACCGAAAACTATAAATCTGATTACAAATTCCTTGGACAAGGAGCTGGTCCCTAAACATACGAATCCTTTGACACCTGGATCATCTAGAACCGTCCACGAATAGATATATAAATATACAAAAACATTTACAATATAATTCGTATGATTGATATTTAAAAAAAAACTGAACGTAAAAATATTGTTAAAGAATTAAGATTTATTTTCCAATATAAAAAACTTATAACCGGGCCAAATCGAGTGATTTTTTGACCAGACAAATGGTGGTGGTCGCTTAACTTACGAATAATTTGATACCTTTAAGAGATACCTTTAAATTCGCCTTATAGTAGGTACAAGATTCCAATAAGATAAATGTTTTAATATTAAAATGTTCCGGATAAGATTAAATTCGTAATCCAAAGACAAAACCATAGACAAAGTAGAGTCTATTGCAGACGCAAAACAGTCACAGATTAGTCGGAAAGAGTTATAGCCAGGCACACCCTGCCTCCACACAGATGTTCGAGACAGTAAAGGACGTTGAAGAGTTTTAAAATTGCTGCACAAACTCAATTAGTGGTGACAGACAGGTCACCTGCTCCGCATTTGGAGCCAAATACCTTTGTGGTAGGCATCAGAAAGTTTCATTGCATTTTCAAGAAGAATATCGTTAAAAAAGTCCGAGAGACGCGTTGCGGGAAACGCGCGAAAAAGGGCCTCGTTTAACGATAATTGCTAATAATTATGTAACTAATCCAAATTAAACGATCAGCCTTCTGTATTATTGAATTTTGGAAGACAAAACTTTTATTTCTTTAATATATTTAACACGCTTTTAATATTACGAAGAAAGATTTGTTTGACTGTATTGAATAGACTCCAATAATACAGGATTTGATAATCTTTCACCATTAGAACCGTCACTGATGAAGATCGGCTATAAATTACGATAGTGTTAAGGTGTGAAGACCAATAAAGACTCCTAAACTGCGGAAACTATTAACAATAGAGCAGTGTACTACAGTTTCATAGAAGACATCAATATCTACAAAAAAAGTCTTGCATTTAAAAGTCTATTTACATTTAACAAGAACATAGTACTACCGAAGTAATGCATCTAGTAATATTGACTCAATAACTGGACCAATTTGTAAAATTCTTTCACCATTAAAATCCTAAACCCCTGAAGGACATAGTTTATAAATTACGATAGTGTAAAGGTGTGATCCAATAAATATTCCTATATGCTGCGGAAACTGTTAATAGAGCAGTGTTCTACAGTTTTATAGAAGACTTCAATATGTACGTATGTATGTCGAATTATTACGGGTGGAACAGCACAGCTAGTATTATATATTAATTTAGGCCTAATATACCTAAATCATACAATAATATATGCATAAGCAAGCAAGATTTAAAGATCGCAGCGCTAATATTATCAACAGATATTCCATCATTTAGTGAAATAGAAATCGATCAAACCGTCTCTGTGAAGTTGTTTAACACAAGAATTATCAATATTAAAATGTCCTAACTTAATTTATTAAACTTTAAATAACATTAATCAATGTATTTACTAGTTAATTTCACAATAGCCTCACAATAAACGGTATTTTGACCAGGGAAATGTCACCAAAGGCTGGCGACGTAAACAAAATAGGCCTTTACACATATGGAATACATATATAATCACTCAACTAACCTGAACTTGGTCGATCACTATATCTCGTGCAATAGACCCATGCCGGCCATAGAGTACCGTTTCCAGACTGGCTGTTGGTGTCTGTACTCGTTGAACCGCTCGAAGAAGACACAATAGAACTGGCGGAGTCCGGCCTCTTTTGCTCAACAATCTTTGGCTCTTTGGGTTCGCTGGACACAGTCTTTCGTCCTCCCAATTGTAATTTAGTCTTGCGAATTGCGTTCAATCCGAAATCTGGTTGAAGAATGTTGTTAATCGAAAAGGGTATTGTTATCACTGGTTTGACGTCTTCGTAGTAATATGGCGGCGGAGAATCGGATGTTTTTATCGATCTATATTGAATTGTTGTACAGGTGTATTGGTTTTGATAGGAACCGGGGACGCGGAGCTCGGACGGTCTGTTTTCGAACGCCATGTTGACATGCGCTCCCGACGACGGCGCGCGAGCGACTGACGATTTCGCCGTTATAGACACGCCTTGGGCGAGTTCACCCGTCCCAGTGGGCGTAACTTGATAAATATTCCGTCCCGCTCACACTTACTAATATTACCTTTGTGTGATAGAGACGGATGTATTGATTGTTTAGTGGGTAGTGATTTGTAATTCAAATGTAGCATGGCTCAATAGATTCAATTAAATTTGACGGTCTTATTATTGGCCGCCATGTTTCGTATTTTACACAAAAATTAAGTTGTTTATAAACTTGTTTTTGTAATTAAAACATTATTGAATTATTCATAGATAAATGATATAATATAAACAAAATAGATTTTTATCAACTTTTGACTAACTTTCTTGTAAAAATAACCGACGTAGTTAATAATAAACGTTAAACAGACAAAAAATACGAATAAAAAGATGGCGTTAATCATTTTTATAGCTTTATTAGGTCGGGACAGGTGTGCAATTTAATATAGACTCTATATAGTAGATACGTTATATAGTTACGGTGGTTTATTTATTAGCAGGAAATAGATATAGTGGGATGTAGGCACCGCATGCGCACCGCAAAGTCACTGTTTAATCTTCATAGATTTCTCCTTTTCCACCTTATTTTCAGTGCCTTGCGAATGGATAAATAAGGTTGAGATTGTGTATGCACCGCAAGGGTACCGGACGCTTGCCGCAGGCGTGATTCAAATTGCCGAGTGTGAGTGAAATCTTCATCATTATTTTTAGTGCCCTACAACTAATGGATAAATAAAGTTGAATTATCTCGTCACCGCAAGCGCACCGCAAGCATGAAGCAAATTTAAGCTATGTGAGAGATGTAAATAATGTTACAAACACGAATAAATAATATAATTTTTAATTAATACAAGTTCAAACGGAACAATGGCGCGCGGAGTGACATCTGACAGATATTTAGGCGGGCCCGAGTGACAGCGACAACTCGTTACAGACGCATGTTTTTTTTTAATTTGTTTAGTCTATTGTTAACACGACATAACGCCTATATTTAACGAGAAGGGAATCAAAGAGGAGAATAAAATTAATTTAAGTAAAATATTGTATGGGAAATTATGAAGTATGATTGATCAATCATACTTCATACAATTCTCATATAAAATAGTGTGAAGCCAATTTGTTTGTAATTTAGCCGGTTTTTAGTCTGTTGTCTGTGGAATTTGTTTCATAATATACTCTATGGTCTTGTGTAGTTTTACTAAGACTTTACACGGAGGCCTCATAGCCTAGCGGTCTTATTAAGTGGCAGCTAGGTGAGGGGTACCGGGTTCGATTCCCGGTTCGAGGGTTTTAATTTCATTTAAATTTGTTCTCGGCCTTTGGGAGGGTTGTGCGGTACCGGGCGAGTGCCTAAACCGTACATGGAGGACTCGGTCGAATTTCTAAGGCAAGCACGAATTATAAAAATCTTATACTGGACGCTGGCTAATGCACAAAGCGTGCTAGAGCCATTAAAAAAAAAGACTTCACACATCATTCCGTCTTCCTGTCTTCTCAGGTTTACGAGAAATGTATGAAAGTGTGATTGATCAATAATACTTCATATAATTTACACAAAATAAATAAACTAAAATTCGTTGTATTTGTTGTCTATTATTTATGATATTTTTGTGTTGTAGAAAAAATTAACTGCTATAAATCCGAGTTCATAACATAAATACGACGGTTCTAATAAAAACAATTAACATTAATATTAACTGTTGCAACGCCATCTGTTGCCGGGAAACTGTACTAAAATACATATTTTGGTGTTTTAATTCGTTGCATTTAAAAACTTTACCTGTGCCTCTTCTGTGTCTGTTTATTATTTATTTATTTATTAACACTTCGTTGCATATACATTAATATAGTACAATTGACATAATTAAATAAAAAGGAGAGCAACTGGCGGCCTTATCGCTTTCGAGCGATCTCTTCCAGGCAACCACTGTGAGAAAAGAAAAAAAAGTATTAAACTACATAAGGTAGGCAAGAAGTGCAAAAACACATGTATTACATATAGTTGTTGAGAAAAAGAAACTAAACAGGAACAAAAAAACAAACTAATAAAGGACACATGAAAAAAAATTTAATACCTAATAATAAAAAGTGCACATGAATCATTATAATTTAATAGGTGATCAGCCTTCTAAGAGTCTCAGGTTTCCTCACGATGTCTTCCTTCGTACTTATTAAGGTATTACATTGTTCTCGCTACAACCTTACAGGTCTGGGCCTCTTGTCTGTTCCTAATAGGCAAGTAGGTGATCAGCCTTCTAATGGTCTAAGGTTTCCTCACATATTAATGCGTATGGAAAAGCCCATGAAGAGCCGTGGTTCACCAGCTCAAGGATGGCTGTCACTGACCAGGGCTATACTGCTCATAATGAATCCAAGGCAAAAGAATTGTCTGACGAAAGACTTGGCAACGACTTCCGAACACTAGGACCTTCATACCCCATTTGTCTTAATAGGGAATGTGATCAGCTGTGCCTAAGCGTCTAAGGTTTCCTCACGATGTCTTCCTCTGTATGTTGTTAAATTCGACCTCATGCAGAATAAACCAGATTCAATTAACCAAAGTTTAACAGTTAAACTTTGTAATAATAAACTAATTATTTCGGAACGGAAAGGATATTTTAGTTACAACGTGTGTGGTCCGAACGCGTGGCTTAAGGCGAAGTTTATTTCATACGAGGCAGCTATGGCGGTACTTTCAACTGTCATTGGCACAGTTGTCAACGTCAAAGTCTAATCGGTTATTTGATTAGGTGTTAGATATTAAAGTTGAGCAGTGTTGCCGTAGTGGCTTCAGCATGCGTCTCTCATCCCTGAGGTCGTAGGTTCGATCCCTGGCCGTGCACCAATGGACTTTCTATATGCGCATTTTACATTAATTGCTCGAACGGTGTAGGAAAACATCGTGAGGAAACCGACATGTCTTACACCCAAGAAGTCGACGGCGTGTGTCAGGCACTGGAGGCTAATCACCTACTTGCCTCTAAGATTTAAAATGATCATGAAACAGATTTAGAAATCTGAGGCCAAGACCTAAAGAGGTTGTAGTGCCACTGATTTTATTATTTTTAGATATTAAAGTTATCATTTTTTATTTATGCTTTACTTTCAACTGTCAACTGACACACACAGCTGTCAAAGTCAAAGTCTAATCAGTTATTTTAGTATTAAGTTATTAAAGTTATCAATTTTATGTTTTGCTTTCAACTGTCAACTGTCAACGTCAAAGTCTAATCAGTTATTTGATTATTAGGATATAATTAAAGTTATCATTTTTTTATTTATTTTATTTTATTTGTCAAACATCACACATGTTAAAAGCACAATCATATACCTACAGACAATATGTTATACAAAGGACATACACATGAGTGTGACATGAGAAATTAAGAAGTCCAACAATATCCATGCAACTTCCTCAACAGCGGCAATATCAAGAGAGAGTGAGAAGGGAGAGTTAAAATTTCGTAGAGAGATTTTATGAAATATTAGTATTTTATATTTGATGCAAAATTATTTATCATAATCTCAAATTCTGCAATTAAAATGCTGTGTCTTTATTATCGAAGATATCAATTTAAAAAATTAAATTTATAATTTGTATTAATTTTCAACAAATCCTAACATATCTTCCTTTTTCCCTCCCTGTAAGTCTCGGAAATCTAAAGTTTTAGATTTGTACAAATATGAACAAGACTTAAAAATTAGTTTGCCAAAGAAGTTTCACTTCTGACATTGTACTTTGTACGCACGCACTTTTTTTTACGTTCTAGACATTCGTCAAAATTACCGTCGTTTTATCGTCTGTAATAATGTCTCATTTGATAAAATACTGTAATGAACATGTAGTTATTTTTTAATTATTTACACTAAATATGTACATAAAAGATGTTGCTTTCGTTATATATATATATATATTTGTATATGTAATGTCTTAGTACTTAGTCTCCTAGTAATAATGGCATTATGTTCTTTTATTTTTCGTGAAATATAGATTTTGTTTTTATGACTTTGATCCCCGAAGCAAGCGATTTTACTGAATACAATTAAACTTTTAAAAAACTAACAGAATCGCTAATAACACACAAATATGATACAATTCTTACATAATATATTATGTAAGAATAAATAATATTTATATTAATTTTGACGATAAATCTAAAATGTTTTAACTCGACCGACTGTCACATTAGATAGCTTTTTGCACCAACTCTATGTGGAACCAGCTGCCCACTGAAATATTTCCGTACCAATTTGACTTAGGGTCCTTCTAGAGCATACCAATTTGAAAAGGCCGGAAACGCACTCACGAGCCCTCCAAAAAAAAAGGGTGCGTGTACTTACGTACGCGCGTAAGAAGTTATACTTCTTTGGCATTATTAAAAATAGTTTTTGATTGCATGCAAATAATTAATTACAATTAAATAATCAAAGACTGGAAAAGGAGTCATTATAGTCAATAAAGTTCAGTTTACATTTGAAAAATTAAATAAATAAAAATTTATTATTATTCCCTTACATTAAGTGTAACATAAATTCTATTATTATTCGAATGTTGTTTTTAAATTATGTCCAATGCGGTAGCATCTTCCGTGGGCAACTTCATTCTGTTAATTTTGTGCGCGCGCATCGTATAATTACACTCTCATCAATTTTTCATAACGCGCCCAAAGAAGTATAACTTCAAAAATTGAAATTGTCCATGGGCGGCACCGCAACTTAATATTAGATGAGCCTCCGGCTTTTCTTTCCCCGATTTATTGTACAAGAGCGTATCAATTAATAAAAGCCGGCATCGCAACGCGAGCCCTGCGAAAGATTGCAAGTGTTCATAGGCGACAGGTATTTCCGAACCAAGTCGACTTAGGGTCCTTTAAAGAGCGTACCAATTCCCTGATTGGCAACACATCCGCTAGCCCCCGGTCTATAGCCTGGTGAGCCCGATAGCT